TCCCCACTCGCTCCTATCCTCCCACACACACTCCCCACTCGCTCCTATCCTCCCACACACACTCCCCACTCGCTCCTATCCTCCCACACACACTCCCCACTCGCTCCTATCCTCCCACACACACTCCCCACTCGCTCCTATCCTCCCACACACACTCCCCACTCGCTCCTATCCTCCCACACACACTCCCCACTCGCTCCTATCCTCCCCACACACACTCCCCACTCGCTCCTATCCTCCCACACACACTCCCCACTCGCTCCTATCCTCCCACACACACTCCCCACTCGCTCCTATCCTCCCACACACACTCCCCACTCGCTCCTATCCTCCCACACACACTCCCCACTCGCTCCTATCCTCCCACACACACTCCCCACTCGCTCCTATCCTCCCACACACACTCCCCACTCGCTCCTATCCTCCCACACACACTCCCCACTCGCTCCTATCCTCCCCCACACACACTCCCCACTCGCTTCCTATCCTCCCACACACACTCCCCACTCGCTCCTATCCTCCCACACACACTCCCCACTCGCTCCTATCCTCCCACACACACTCCCCACTCGCTCCTATCCTCCCACACACACTCCCCACTCGCTCCTATCCTCCCACACACACTCCCCACTCGCTCCTATCCTCCCACACACACTCCCCACTCGCTCCTATCCTCCACACACACTCCCCACTCGCTCCTACTCGCTCCTATCCTCCCACACACACTCCCCACTCGCTCCTATCCTCCCACACACCACTCCCCACTCGCTCCTATCCTCCCACACACTCCCCACTCGCTCCTATCCTCCCACACACACTCCCCACTCGCTCCTATCCTCCCACACACACTCCCCACTCGCTCCTATCCTCCCACACACACTCCCCACTCGCTCCTATCCTCCCCCACACCCCCCCCCCTATCCTCCCACACACACTCCCCACTCGCTCCTATCCTCCCACACACACTCCCCACTCGCTCCTATCCTCCCACACACACTCCCACTCGCTCCCTATCCTCCCACACACACTCCCCACTCGCTCCTATCCTCCCACACACACTCCCCACTCGCTCCTATCCTCCCACACACACTCCCCACTCGCTCCTATCCTCCCACACACACTCCCCACTCGCTCCTATCCTCCCACACACACTCCCCACTCGCTCCTATCCTCCCACACACACTCCCCACTCGCTCCTATCCTCCCACACACACTCCCCACTCGCTCCTATCCTCCCACACACACTCCCCACTCGCTCCTATCCTCCCACACACACTCCCCACTCGCTCCTATCCTCCCACACACACTCCCCACTCGCTCCTATCCTCCCACACACACTCCCCACCGCCCCCCCCCACACTCCCCACCGCCCTATCCTCCCACACACACTCCCCACTCGCTCCTATCCTCCCACACACCACTCCCCACTCGCTCCTATCCTCCCACACACACTCCCCACTCGCTCCTATCCTCCCACACACACTCCCCACTCGCTCCTATCCTCCCACACACACTCCCCACTCCTCCTATCCTCCCACACACTCCCCACTCGCTCCTATCCTCCCACACACACTCCCCACTCGCTCCTATCCTCCCACACACACTCCCCACTCGCTCCTATCCTCCACACACACTCCCCACTCGCTCCTATCCTCCCACACATACTCCCCACTCGCTCCTATCCTCCCACACACACTCCCCACTTACTTGCCACTCCCCAGCTCCAGCTGGTACTCATAGCCCGAGAAGGTTGACGCGGGGCACAGCACGCCCTTGGTGGGGGAGTGGTGGACGAGGGGGAGGCGGGGGAGAGGGCGTGACGGAGGGGGAGGGGGCGGAGAGGGCGATTCGGTAGGGGAAGGCGCGGGTGCGAAGCCAATGGGGGTGCCCGCCATTTGGCCGTTGCAGGAGAAATCGACCTGGGCAGAGGCGCTGGGGTGAGGGGAGATGGGGAAGAGAGAGGGGGAGAGGGGGGAAGAGGAGGGGGGAACGTGGGCGGTGAGAGGAGAGGAGAGGTGAGACGAGAGCCAAGGTGATTCTTCCCTTCCATGCATTTTCTTCCCTCTCCCTTCCCCTTCTCCCCGTTCCCTCTCAATCCCTCTTCCCCTCCCTTCCACCTCCCCACCTTCCCCCTTCCCCCTTTCCCCCCTCCCCGCGTTTCCCTCTCCCCCCTCCTCCTCCCCCCCTTCCCTATTCCTTACACGGGCTTGGGGTTGCTTCCAAGCGGCTGGCCTTCCCAGGACGGGTAGTACCAAACCACGTTCATAGGTCCGGACGACTGGAACGTCACCGAGCCTGTCCCCTCGGTTCGGCTAAACCTGAGACAGAGGAAACGAGTGTAGAGAAGCAACGCAGGGGCGCAACGTTCGGCAATCAGATGTTCGGACGCCGTTCAGACGTTCGGACGCCGTTCAGACGTTCGGACGCCGTTCAGACGTTCGGACGCCGTTCAGACGTTCGGACGCCGTTCAGACGTTCGGACGCCGTCCAGACGTTCGGACGCCGTTCAGACGTTCGGACGCCGTTCAGACGTTCGGACGCCGTTCAGACGTTCGGACGCCGTTCAGACGTTCGGACGCCGTTCAGACGTTCGGACGCCGTTCAGACGTTCGGACGCCGTTCAGACGTTCGGACGCCGTTCAGACGTTCGGACGCCGCTCAGACGTTCGGACGCCGTTCAGGCGTTCGGACGCCGTTCAGGCGTTGGGCCACTAGTCGGAATGACCAGCGAATGCCACGGGAGGTACCGTAGACAGTTAGCGAAAACCGCGAGCGACGTCCGCCTGCGTTACAAAAGTCGCAACGTACTTACAACAACATACGCTGCCAAATATTTATAAGTTTAACATATATATAAAATCTGGGCGCATCAAATAATCGATTTTTGAGCCGCTTCAAAAGCCATTGCAGCACTCACAATGCGATCGTGCTGTCGCCGAACCCGACGGAGCCGGCGCTGCCGATGTTGAGCGTGTTCGTTTCCGACATGATAGTGACCGGCGCGGGGTCGCCATGCTTTTGCGGCGTGATGACGGTCGACGTCGTGAAGGACTTCACGCCGCCGTTCGCGACGTTCGCGAAAACCGCGTCGGTTTTGCCGCCGTTTCCGCCGTCGGTCCACCCGACGCCGAACCAGCTCTTGGCTCGGGCCGAGTCGGCTTCGAGAGCCATCTGAACCACCGAGCCTGACGAGGCGCGCCAATGGTACGTGAACCTGCGTAGGTAGGGAGCGGGGAGGAGAGCGGAGGAAAGGGAGGCGCGGGTGGGGAGAGGCAGAAGGGAGAGGGGAGGGGGAGGAGGGGGGGCGGGGAAGAGGAGAAGGGGATGGGGAGAGAGGAGGGGGATGGAACAGGGCGGGGAGAGTGAACCGAAGGTTTACGAGGGACGCACGGAGGCTCAAAGAACGGGCACGGCAACAAGAGAGGCTGAACGGAACATTGGCCAGTCGTAGCCCGACGCGCTCGCCGATAATGTTGAGGATGGAGATCCGTGGCGCGAATAAAGACCTCTCGTAACATACCCCGGCGCGAGGACCTTCGAAGAGGTGAACCCACTGGCAGCGAGCGACGATGGGTTGCACTTGGCGGGGTTCTGCTGTGGAGACGGGGGAGGCGGAGAGGGCGGGGGCGTGGAAGGCGGCGGGGGAGAGGGCGGCGGCGGAGAGGGGGGTGGCGGAGGGCTGCGGGAACGCGGAGGTGGCGGGCTGGCGAAATGGAGGCTTCCGCCGGTGATGGACCCGAAGCTGAAGAACGGGAAGAGCGACGAGAGCGAAGGCGGAGGCGGAGGCGGAGTGCCCTTCGCGCAAGCGGAGCGGGGGGAGTGGAGGAGCAGCAGAGAGAGCACCAGCGGGAGGGCGGCGCTGACTGCGCGGAGGTTTGCGCGGCGCGCGCGCGCGGCGGTGGCCGAGGTTGCGGCCATGAGGAGAGGATGTCGGCTGGCGGAGGCGACGAATGAGGGAAGAGATGGACCTCCGGCGGAGGCGGAGTTGGCGGTGGCTGTCGGTTGGCGGAGTTCACACCTCCGTACGCTGCTTGGGGTGCTGGAGGAGAACGCTGAGTGCGTTCAGTAAAGAAGCCCAGCAGGAATGGATTTCCCGCGAACTCCAAATGCCACAATCGCCAAATGATGAATCTCAGGATTCTTGAACTCCTGGATTTCTTTTCCTTGCCCAGCCCTCAAGGTGCAACGTACTTGCGCGGGCAACGGGGTAGCACGGGCACATTACAAACTGCAGGCGGGGGGGAATGGGGGAAGAAGAGGAGGAGGGAGCGGGGGGGAATCGGGGGAAATGGAGGAAAAACACCGCTACAAAATGGAGAGGGAACAGGTGGCGGCGAGGCGCGGGATTGGAGGGGGAAGTGGGGGTTTGAGGGGGATGCGAAGCGAAGAGGGGGAGGAGATTCCGCCGCCCCGCACTTGTGAGCACACAAGGTTGTTGGCAACAGAGAAAAAAGGGCACCGCGCGGAGCCGCGTAAAGTGCTGATTGGTGGGAAGGGGCGCATGGGGGCGGAGGGCGGAGCGTGGGACCCAGACATATGCCGTGACGTGAGGGCTGGTCTGGTTGTCGATGTCGCAAGGTGGAATCTGATGCGGAGGCCATACCTGGCGAATGTCGCCAATACAAGAATTGTTTCTGCGAGAACTCAACAGCCAACCAAAATGGGGCGTACAAGGGCTCGCGAAATCCCACATCAGCCAGGCCCCTTTCGCGTGGTGCAAGCAAGCCCCCCGCAGCCACCCTACTTGGGCCGCGCGTGTATTCGCGGCGCCGTCCTTAAGGATTCGCCTGGTTCGGGAAAACCATAGCCACATTTCTGGTTGGGCAAAGCTGGTTCGGCATCTGACACGTGGCTTGACCGAACTCAGGAGGATCTTTTTTCCGATTGGACACAGCTAAATTGCGCTTGAAAAGTCTCCACTTCTGCGTAAGGGGAATGGAACTGGGGCTAGTTATGGATTGTGGAAATTGCACAAAGTATGAGTGAAACACACACAACTCACCAAAAGGGAATGTTACATTCTTCTCTCCAAACGAATCCATGTGGAGGATGGTTTCGACTATCAGGCCAACCCTTCTCAACAATAAATCCCCTGCTAGCCTCAACCAAGCTCCCTTCCTATCACAATGCTCAAGCCCCTCACTTCCATCGCTATCACGCATTTCACCATTCGTCTCCTCCTGAAACTGATACCGTGAGTCCCACTCCAGCTCAGCAACCAAGAAACGGAGCTTCCTGGGAAGATTCCTCAACCGAGCCTCTTCGGAGCACTTGTAAATAACTTTGAAGCAAAAGGTTTCCTGTCAATGGCGTTGCAATTCCATCCGGGCAAGACTGGAAGCAGGCACCTAGGTCATCAGCACCAGAGCAGGTTGCTTCTTGGTGGGCTTCGGGGAAGGTAGCGTCCAGGTCAGCACTTGCACAGGCAGCATCTAGGTGGGTTCCAGGGGAGGTGGTATCTGGAGGCAATAGACAGGGGGGTGTCTCATCTGGGACCAGCACAGGCGAGAGCCATTCGTCTTTGGGCATGATGTACCAGCGGGAGTGGGCATGCTTGGGCAGCTGCACCATGGCTGCAGCATCATGCGTCCACCACCCGTACCAGTGCCAGGGGAACACGGCACATTCTCCATAAAATGCTGCTCCTGATGCTGGTGCTCCTGTGCCTGCTGCTGCTGCTGCTGTGTCTCCTGCTGCTGCTGCTGTTCTTCCTGCTGCTGCTGATGCTGCTACTGCTCTACCCCCTATCTCAGAATCGCCCCTGGTAGCAACGGTCCCAAATTTGGCGCCTCTCTCTCTCCAGCCCTCCTCCATCTCTCTCAGTTTCAGCCACAGGGGGTACTCATAGAACAAGTACCCTTGTAACAGCGCTGCTGCTTGTAACGAGGATAATATCTCTTTCCCTCCACAGCTCTCTGTAATCCCATCCACCCCACAACTCTCCCTACTCCCTTCATTTTCCATTGCCGCCCCCCCAGTACCCTCAACTCCATACATCCTCGTTATAAGCTGAGCCCATAACCGTGTTTGCCCAGCAGCAGTTGTCGGCTAAGCCGCTCCTTCCGGTCGCGGAGGGACTCCCCCACGTGGGGGCCCAGGTACTGCCCCAGCAGCCAGTCAGGTGCTGCTTCACTGCCGCTGCTGCTGCTGCTGCTGCTGCTGCTGCTACCACTGATAGTGGTGCTGCTGCTACTGGTGGTGGTGGTGGTGATGGTGGTGGTGATGGTGGTGGTGGTGGTGGTGGTGCTGCTGCTGCTGCTGCTGCTGCTGCTCTGAGTGGGATGGAACCGGCGGGAGAAGATGGCAAGTGCATCGTCCCACGAGCCCACGAAGAGGAGAAACTTCACGGAAAGCTCCCAGTGGTGGAGCACAGCTGAGGCTGCTGCGGCTGCATCCTCAAGTCCAATGGCGGGATTAGCAGCGGCAGCAGCAGCAGCAGCAGGAGGAGCAGAATCAACAGCTGCAACAGCAGCTGTATCTCCACCACAATCATCAGCAGCAGCAGTTGCACCACCCTCTAAAACTCTCTTGCAACATAAACCAGGCGACTTGGAATCAGGAGGAGAAAGGGGAGGAGGAGAGAGCAAGTGAGGAAGAGAGGGAGGAGGAGGAGAGGGTGAGTGAGGAGGGAGGGAGGGAGGCGGCAGGGTGAAGAGCACATCAAACTCCCCCATGGTCTGAATCCGCCCCTTCCTCTCCCTCGACTCGCGCAGGAATCGCTTCCGAGCCCGTCTGCCCATCTGCCTCAGCTCCGGAAAGTCTAGCTCTGGCCGAGCCGGAGCCAGCTCCAGGCTCGGCACGCTGAAGCCCTCTAGGCTCGGTAAGTTCGGCTGGTCTGGACTCTGCTTCAACAAGGTGGAGGAGTCTGGCATGTTGGGGTTCGGGGGGGTCAGGTTCGGATAGGCCGCCGTCAGCTGATGTGTCTGCTTCGGGGAGGGTTTGATCTGGTTCGGGGAAGATAAGCCGGGTGGCTTCCCCCGAACCTCTGAAACGTGAACTTGGACAGAGGTTCGGAGGCCCCGAGGCTTGAGGCTCGGGCCGAACGTGAGGGCGAAGAGAATGCAAAGAGCATAGTGGTCGCCCAATCGGGCGCTCTGTTTCTTCTGCCTGAACCATGCTGCCACGTGTCCTCCATCCAGGGACTCCAGCCAGGCCAAGAGGCGCCTGTTGGCCCTCCCTCTCGCTATTGTCACATGCCTCATGGTGCGGATAATTGCTTGGACTGGAGTGATCCGGGCTGTTAGGCATCAGGAGGGAAGAGGTCTGGGCGAATGCGTGTGGGTCCACTGTTGGTAGCTGCGGAGAGCAAGGGAGAAAGAGAAGGGGAGAGAGAAAAGGGAGGAAGATGAATCGAGGGGGGGGTGAGGTGTGTGAGAGAGAGGGGGGGTGGGCAGAAGGGGAATCGGGTAGAGAGGCCTTAGTCCACAGCAGGTGAGTTTTTGTTTCAAGGCGTACCTGGTTGGACGAGAGCAGCAGCGGCGGGCAGAAGGCAACAAAAGCGATGTCTCTGATGAGCCTGAGGGGGGAGAGGGGGGGGGGGGCAGGGGGCGGAGGGGGGCTGAAGGGGGCTGTGGGGGTTGATGGGGAAGGGGACAGGGGAGGGCAGAAGATTACCAAAGCGATGTCTCTGATGAGCCTGAGGTGGGGGGGGGGGGGGAAGGGGGGGGGGGGGAGGGGGAAGAGAGGGGAGGGAGGAGGGAGGAGGGGGAGGCAGGGGCGAGGCGGTGCGTCAATGAGTCTGGGGGGGAATGGGGAAAGGGGGGGGAAGGGGGTGGAAGAGAGTGGCGGGTGCAGGGGGGAGGGAGGGGATAAGCTCCTCTGAGGGCGGCGGAGTCAGCATTGCAGGCCGAGGAGGGAGTATTCTAGCACCTGAATTTTCGTATGACCAAATGTAAACCTTCCGAATTTGATGCACGTTCAATTGTATCGAATTTACATGACTCACTTATCTGGGAAGCGAAGAAGCTCTTGTTGAGTCGGAAACCGTCCAGGCTGAAGCACACTTCTGCCATGCGACCGCCCTTGCGACACTAGCCGTCGCGTTAATCGTCGCCATTCCCGCTACCGAAGCCGAATTGCGCTGACTACCGCCGGCTGCGGAAGGCAACTGAGGAGAGCGCATGGTGCTTGCGCGGAAGGTGCTCGCGCGAAAAAGCGACTCCTAAATTGCGCATTGCCGAGAGGACGAGACGACAGACAGGCTATCCGCATTTCAGACGTGCCTTGGTCGCCAGAATCAGGATTTGTGCGTCACCTGAGAGCATGGCTAAAGACATAGACATATTATAGTGAGCGGCAGCGAATGAAATTGCGAGGGACAAAAATGGAATCCCCGTTGTAAGCTGCTCTGGCAGCGACTGAAATTGTCAAGGCAGTTTCGTTATCAATTTGGCTCTCTATGTTGCTGAACGAGTGGATCATTTGGAATTCACGCTTTAACTGTACCGATAATTTCGATGTTACACCTAGCCGGTTTCGTTGCTCCGTTCGCGAAGCCTCTCGCAGCACGTTGACTTTCGGAGAATGGACTCGTCAACAAACCATGCCGAAGCAGCCAGTCAAAATACTGCTCTGGCCAGTCTTTGCCTGGACGCTGACTCGTCTTTGCACCACGTCACGAAATCCATCCCTTCGCCGCAGTTACGTTCGGCACTTGCAGAAATAATAGCCGTCGATCTTCCACCGACAACGACCATTCTCGAGATTGGTTTTCCAATCTCGCGTCGTGCGAACTAGGCATGCGCGACATGGGTGACGCAAATGCGGTGGATAGAATTTTGAGCCTGAAGAAATTACAAATCCACTTCAGGCAAACACAGCACCAGCACAGAGCATTCACCATTCCCTACCCCCACCTTCACCAACACCAGCCATTCCGCCAAAACCCTCATTTCACTCCAACCATCTAAATTTGGCACTCTCGCAGGAGTTACGCCTTACATACCTATCACTTATAGTATTCCCGCAACATGGGCACTAGGGCGATTTTTGCTTCCGTGGTGATGGCTGCCATTCTCCAAGGCAGTGCGTTTGCTGCCAGTGGAAAGCCCAGGCGTGAGCTTCTCACGCATCGTGTGCAAGCTGTGAAGCCAACTATGGCAGCCGGTTGGAGAGCACGGGTGAACAGCAGGATTGCTAGCGCCTCCATTTCCACTGCTTCTAGCAGCACTACTGCTACTACTGGTGCCAGTGGTAGCAGGCATCCAGCACTGGAAGCGATGCAGCTACTGTAACCGAAGCGGCAGGAGCAACGTCGTCCAACACTGCAACTGCAAGGGTTGCCGCAGCAGGTGTAGGGAATTCATCGCTGGGAGCGCATCCCGCAGCAGTCCAGTGCAACGCTGGGGACGACCACAGTGGGCACTAGTGCCACTTGTGACGCGTCATCGCTCGCTGACTATGGCCTCTTCAACGCAGCTGTCCTCCGAGTGAGTTTCTAGCACGGGCCTTGAAGTTTCCCCCCTGCAATCTTCATGAACATACCTTTTCCCCCTGCAATCGACATGCTTTGAATTCCAATGAGTCACCACCCTCATTGAATGCTCATGAAATGCCTCAAATGTCTCTCAATGCACCAATACTGCGTTGCCCTTCCCCTTCCATTTCCTCTTTCCAATACTCTTGTCACTGCGCTGCTCCTCCCCTTTCCCCCTCCCATCAGTCTCACTCTCCACTGGAAGGCAGCCAGTGCGACCAAGGTCAACCTTGCCCTTGAAGCAGCAGCGGGGAGCTCGGCAGCAGCGGGGTGGTTCTCTGTGGCGTGGTCCTCAGATGGCCGCATGGCCCCAGCTGACACTGTTTTTGGCAACCTGCCGGGGCTGTGGCGGCTTACTACATGAGCGGCTATGGGATGAGCGACGTTCAGCCTACAAGCAGCTTCAGTATTGGCAACGCTGTCCAAACTACATCGGCTTCCGGCTCCACTATTATTGAGTATGTATTTGACGCAAATTATACATTATGCATTATACATTACATATCTGGTGCCATGCATTATTTTCCAGCAGATCCGCTTATTTTTGTGACCCTTTGCTGCTTCCTGCCGCAGTTTTTGCTGCTAAGGGGCCAAGCCATGTCTAATCGTGCACCTCTCATGTGCCTATGTGGCCCACGTGTCAGGTTCTCCCGCGTTTCCAGCGATGGTTCCATCCCAGTGAACGTTGGCGGCAGCAACACTCTCATCTGGGCCTACTCTGAAAGCGGCTCCAAGTCACTTGACTTCCACGGCGAGAATGAGTGAGTGAACAGACTTGCACCTGTCGCTCTTCCCAGTGTGAATGTGAAGTCTGTTGGCTTCGTTACCACCCCCAAGATATTATGAGTTCTGCTGTCCCCTCAACTGGAAAGTGATTGTCCAGGTTGCCATCCTGTGGCCCCTTCCCTAACCGTTTCACACACTCATAGCCGTAACAACCCTCAGCTTGAACCTTACGTCCGAATCCTCTTTCCTCCTTCCACCCCCTCTCCTTCTGGGCCTCTTCCTTGCCCCTTCCACGCCTCTTCACCCTCTCCTCGCAGTGGAGTGGCCACAGTAGATTTCTCCTGCGATGGCTCCTCCTCCTCCGCTCCTCCCTCAACCTCCCCACCTTCCTCCCCTGCACCCCCCTCCACCTCCCCTCCCTCCTCCTCCCCTCCCTCCACCTCCCCTCCCTCCACCTCCCCTCCATCTTCCTCCTCCTCCTGTGCCACATCCACCCTCCCCAGCTACACCTACTCTGCCCCCCTTGACTCCTCTCTCACGCTACACTGGAAGACCGTTAGTGCTACTCAGGTCAACCTCGCCCTGGAGGCAGCAGCGGGCAGCACGGCAGCAGCGGGGTGGTTCTCCCTGGCGTGGACTGCGGACGGCCGCATGGCCCCGGCTGACACTATCATTGGCAACCTGCCGGGCGGGGCTGTGGCGGCTTACTACATGAGCGGCTATGGGATGAGCGACGTTCAGCCTACAAGCAGCTTCAGTATTGGGAGTGGTGCGGCGCTGACTACCACTTCCAGTGGCTCCAAGGTTATGAAGTAAGTCATGGGGTTCGATGAATTTGATCATTGTAGTACCTTCCCCTCTCCCCCCCCTTCCTCCCTCCCCTCTCTCCCCCTCCTCCCTCCCCCTCTCCCCCCCCCCCCCCTTGGCTTGTCATGCCTGTAAGCAATCGCCAAGTTCATGGTTTGAGGCTGGCTCATCGCCAAGTACATGGCCTCTTACCAACTTCCAGTTTTCAGGCGCCTGAAACCACCTGCAGTACACTGTCTGAGATCCACTAATCTAGAACTGCATACCCTACTATCGCCTTCTGTTTTGGCCCGTGTTGAGCAGGTTCTCTCGGGCCCAGGGCGATGGCTCCATCCCAGTGAGTGTGAACGGGTCCAACACCCTCATCTGGGGATACTCCCAAGGCGGCTCTCAGACCCTTGGTTTCCACGGAGAGAATGAGTAAGTCAAGCTCGATAGTGCTTGTTCTTGAATCAATAGTTTTTCTTTCCACTGGCACATGAAAGTTGGATATGGGGCATTTGATGGTGTACCAACTTGTTTCCTCTGCCTCATTTCGCTGGTTTGCTCTTCTCTTCACCAAATCTAAACCCCAACCGCTGTGTTCTTATCGCAGTGGTGCGCTCACCCTCGACTTCTCATGCGCCACTTCATCCACCGGAGGTGGCATCGGCGGTGGCGTTGGTGGCGGCATTGGCGGCGGTGACAACAACGGAGGTGGCTTTGGAGATGGAGGCCATGGGCATGGGCAAGGCGGTCACGGGCATGGCCATGGGGGTCCTGATGGCCCCGGCCATGATGGCGGGGCTGGAGGTGTTGGGGGGGCATGGGCGGTTCTGGCAGTGGCGGGTGGGGCAGCAGTGCTTGGGGCGGTTGGTGGGACTGGTCTGGCATAGAGAAAGTTCACCTCGTGATGGTGGCCATGGGTTTCTGGATGGAAGGAGCGGATGGTCATGGAGGTGATATGGGTAAAACCCAAAATCACCATGATTGTGGGTGTGGAGGAGCCGGCATATGGGATGAAGGAGGGATGGGTGACTTGGGGGGTCGCAGCTGGAGTGAGAGTGGCTTATGAGATGGCGGGTGGGATTGCTGGGGCCGTGGCGAATAGTGTTCTATTCAGATGGGATAATATGAAATATGCTTTTGAGTCGACTCATATTCAGATGGGATAATATGAAATATGCTTTTGAGTCGACTCATATTCAGATGGGATAATACGAAATATAGAAGGTATGCTTGTTTGCAATTGTGAAGCATTAGCCATTAGACCCCTGTTCCTAGGAACTCTGATCAGACTTATGTCGCACCGAACGGAACTGCATTGAACCAAATCGCTTCATATCTGTAGTGTATAATACTGCGCACGTCTGATAGGGGGCGCGTTAGGTAAGAAGGTAGGAACACACGCTCTTAGTGCAAAGGCAATGCATAGTGGAAAGGGCAGTGGGGCTTCTGCTGGGTTGTATACGTGGTCAAGTACTTTTTGAGTACGTTCAACAAAATGCATTTTTCTAAGAAGCACACTCTTTAAAGCAGGCTCAGCACACCAAGGTCCCATAGGGTAGGTTAGTTCGGCTGGTCTGGTCCCGGCTTCAACAAGCCAGAATTTGGTACGTTGGGCTCAGGGGAATCAAGTTTGGGCAGGCTACCATTGGCTGCTGCGTCTGGTTCGGGGAGGGCCGGATCTGGTTTGGGGAGAGTTGGATCTGGTTCAGGGAAG